TTGTTTTGCTAATAGATATGGAAGTAATGGTTTCAATTGGCAATTGCAGCAGCACAATGTGAGGAAAACCATGGAAAAGAGTGAGGCTTGACCTGGAATCGTCGAGAAAAAATAAAGGATTCCATGCCAGCCTGAATCCACGAAGTTATGTAAGAAGCACATTTGTCAACAGGAAGACGAAAAATTCTACCCAGGGGCCATCACGAAGAAAATCATGGAAAGAGTCCCAGTCAGCTTTAAGGTAGTTGTAAGATGTACAATGATAGGGGGATTCTGATGGTAAAGAAGAATGAGATAATTATTTTAGAGAGACCAAACCATGTTCAGAAGCACCTAAGGGTGAGTGTGGAGAAACTGAGCACTGACTAGGATCAGAAACAAGACATAAGTTGAGTAGAGAAGGTAAATGATTCGGGTTGTCTGGAAAGCGAGTTGGAAAGTTGACTATTTGAGTTAGGGATTGAGAAAGGCAAAAGTTGTGAGCCTTAATGCCTGCAGAGTCACTGACACTTGAGCCAAGCCATTCAGTGTGATGAACATTAAAGTCACCGACAACAACAATATTGGCTGATGGATAAAGAATGAGGGCTTGGTCAATATAATCAGAAATAACATCAAGAAGAGTGCAGTCTTGAGATGAAGGAGAGCGATATAAAACAAAAAGAAAGGTGATAGAGTGAAGTGGTGCTAAACAAAAGCAGGTAAAAGAGTAGTCTGTGGATTCAAACCTAGTTTCCCGAAAAAAGGGTTAATTCGTACGAATGTAAATGCCCAGGGCAAGCATGTGACTATTGGAGTCTTTACGAATTAAAGGAAGATAACCATCAACACCAAGATGAGACAGCTAAACTCAAATTAGTCTCACAAAGAGCAAGTAAGTCTGGTGAACTTTGCAAGAGATAAAACTCAGCAGAAGAAAAGTTACTTCGAAGACCACAAATATTGGTGAATGATGGTTTAGCGAACTTGGTGATGACTGTGGTTTTTTGTGTTTTATAATTTTTGTTACTTTATTCATTTTTAAATTTGTTTAAAAAACTTGACTCGAAACATAGATAGTACTCAGTACGCTGTTTTATAGCCCAAGCAATTGCCTCATTTCAACTAATAAACCCTAAGCCATAACAAAGGGCTCCAATGTGGCCTTGACAACGCACACCAAAAATAGGGACACCACCCATTTGCAACATGGTACTGTTAGTACTCTAATATTTTTCAGCTGTTGATGGAATCAGCCTCTCTGAGAGCTACCACAGAGTTCAGGAAACCTGACTACCAGCCGGCCTCAGAACCATAAAACTGAGTTTTAAAGCTGTACCCTCATTTGGAGATAATAGAATGAGTTGCCTAGTCATAAAAACAGTGACACAAGCAAAACCCATGCATTGAGTCAAGAAGATGCAGCGTTCAACATCCTAAAAAATAGAACCTGTTTACCCCTTAAGTCTTTGCCTAGGAGGCCTTCTACAAGACAGCAGCCGAATGCATTTAACATCTGCCCAAGATGAGTATTTTTATTGAGACACCATCTCTAGCCTTTACTCAACCAAGAGCCCCAAGGCAGGGGGTATTTTATGTCCGCGTTTGCATCTCCTAGCCTTTGCCTAAACAGGCATATCCTACAAGGCAGCAGGATATGAAGCAGATTGTACCTGGTTACATGTTACCAGTAGCAGGATAAAGCTGACCTGAACTTAATTACCCACTTCAATTTTTACATAAATATAATATGATATACTTTCATTGCAAGTTTCATTTTTGATTTTTTTGTTGCTGTTAATTTCTGTATACTTAATCAGCAAATTTAGTTTACCGAAAGTATTTTTAAATCAAGTACATAAAAAAAGTTAAAAACTTCAAAGTATATTTTTTATTATTTATTAATATGCAGAGATTTTGGTAACTTTATTTAACTCAAGTTAAACTGTAAAAATGTAAATAAAGAGTTTTTGAATAATAAGAATAAATATTGAAAAATCTAAACTAGAGAATAACTGACAATTAAAAAATAAAGTTTTTTTTTTTTACTTTTGAATATATGATCTTACTTTTAATTACGCTTTTTACATTAAAAGAAATATTTATTTTGGTCAATTATGTTAGTGTATTCTACAAATATCGATGTTATTAAAAAGCAGAGCAATAATAAATTTAGCAAATTTATATATATGTGTATATATATATATATATATATATATATATATATATATATATATATATATATATATATATATATATATATATATATATTGTTTTATTTTTTTTAACAACTTTAACATCTTTACTACTAACCAGGCTGCAAGCAACTACTATTCGAGTTGGAAGTTACTGGAAAAGAAAAGATGAAGTTTATAAAGCAAGATGACAATTAAAAAACGACTTTAAAGATTGCTAACTGTGTGAACTAGGAAAAGAAACTGAAGGAAGCGAATTCCAAAAAACTGATTTTCGAATAAAAAAAACTATTCAAACAAGAAGAGTTGGCTTTTTATCAAGACAAGAACAATTGGTAGCATCATCAGCGAAAAATGACAACTTAGATGTGAGTACTTCTGGGAGATTGTTACTGTAAATTTAAAAAAGTATGTAGCCATAGATAGAACCTTAAGGAACCCCTTAAGCTACAGGAAATAAAGAAGAGTGCTATCCATCAAGGACAACTTTTATACTACGATTGGTAAGAAACAATTCAATAGTCTTGAAATGTTATTTGATGATATTGTAAGAAAAGAGTTTTTTTTTTTTTTTTTAATTTGCATTCACTCCCAACAAGGCTGCAAGCAACCACTATCAAGTTGGGAGTTACTAGGAAAAAAAGAACAGAGTTATAGAGCAAGGAAACGGTTGACAGAAGACTTGAAAAATTGAAGGTTGTATGAGTCAGGAAAACATGAAGATGGAAAAGAGTTCCAAAGGATTGAAGTGCGGGAAAAAAAACTAGATGAATAAAAGTTTTTAGAGCATGCAGGGACAGATACAGTAAATGAATGAGACTTAGCTGAATGACGAGTAAAACGAGAATGAATTTTAGTTGATGGAACTAGAGATGATAACTCCTTTGAGCAGTGACCATGATAGTATTTGTAGGAAAGAGAAAGAGATGCAACTTTACGACGATGGGAAAGAGGTTCAAGCTTAGCAGATAGTCCAGGTCCAACAACATTTACAATGCGTTTTTGGACCTTGTCAAGAAGAGAAAGTGAATCGTTAGAAGAACCAGCCCAAATGTGACAACAGTATTCCATACAGGGACGAATAAGAGATTTGTAGAGGTAGAGAATGGAATCAGAAGTAAGAAAATGGCAAGCACGATAAAGAGAAGCAACCTTAGCAGAAGCTAATTTAGCAATCGATTGTATATATGGTTTCCATGAAAGGTCAGTAGTAAGCGATAATCCAAGAAGACGTAAAGAGGACAACTCAGTAAGAGGATTGCCATTCATTAATATAGGAATGTTGACCATATTACGGTAGTTGTTTGCAGTAAGCAACTGGGTTTTTTTAGAGTTGAAATTCACAAGCCACTGTGAACCCCAATCTATTTCTGAAGTGAGATCAGATTCAAGATCAGCTGCTTGTTCTAGGCGATCGAAAAGAGAAGACTTTTTGTCAAGACAGGAGTATAAAGTTGAGTCATCAGCAAAAAGAGCTACTTTAGATGAAAGGTTGTCAGGAAGATCGTTTATGTAGATAAGAAACAAAACAGGGCCCAGGATGGAACCTTGGGGAACCCCAGAAGTTACTGGAAATAAAGAAGAGTGTTGGCCTTCAAGGATGACTTTAATAAACCGGTTAGAAAGAAATGCTTTGATAATCTCAAAAACATTCCCAGAAACACCATATGAAGCAAGCTTATGAAGAAGACCAGCATGCCAAACTTTGTCGAAAGCTTTAGATATGTCGAGAGCAATAGCCCTAGCCTCACCGCCTCCATCTAATGCACGATAAAATCTTTCAGTTACAGCAGTTAGCAAGTCGGCCGTAGAGCGAGAGGATCGAAAACTATATTGATTGTCTGACAGTAGTTTATTTGACTCAAGATGAGATGTGAGGAATTTGTTGATCAAAGACTCAAAGACCTTGCTAATAACAGAAAGAAGACTGATCGGACGATAATTGGAGGGGTCAGAATTTTCTCCAGAGTTTTTGAATATTGGAACCACAGATGCCATTTTCTAACAAGCAGGAAAACAAGACTCAGTCAAACACTTGTTAAATAGTTTAGAGAGAATTGAAGAAAGTTCTGGAGAACGACTGTGACAGGAATGTTGTCTGGACCACTAGCTGTAGATGAGTTTAATTGAGATATGACTTTAGCAACAGAAGCCGGAGTGATTTGAATGTCTAACAATGGGTCAACCTGTTTGACTGGAATGGAAGGAAGAGAATGTCCATAAGATTCAAGAGTGGAATTAGAAGAAAAGTTCTTTGCAAATAGTTCTGCCTTATCCTTGGGAGAGGTAAAAGATCAGTCCCATGAATGAGTGATGGAATGCTAGATCTACCCTTGTTAATAATGCTGTTGAAGATTTTCCAAAAGTCTTTAGAGCCTAACTTCTGCGATAAGATGCGAGACTTAGTGAACTAAGAATAATGGAGTTTAGCATCAGAAAGCACCTTTTTACATCGATTTCTTGCAATAATAAATAGCCGTTTGTTCTCAAGAGAGTTGTTCTTTTGAAAAAGATGAAAAAAATGATTACGATTGGATATAGCAGCCGCACAAGAAGGAGAAAACCATGGAGTAGAATGAGGCTTGACTTGAAACCGACGCGAAGGAATAAAAGCTTCCATTCCAGCCTGAATCCAGGAGGTTAAGTAGGAGGCGCATTTGTCAGCTGAGAGAGAAAAACATCAGCCCAAGGACCATCACGAAGAAAATCACGAAAGGAATCCCAGTCAGCTTTAGGGTAGTAGTAGGTGGTGCGATGATAAGGTGAGCCCAAAAAAGAAGTACGAGAAGAAAGATTTATAGAGATCATTGCATGGTCAGAACCACCTAAGGGAGAAAAGGGAGAAACTGAACATAAGCTAGGGTCAGAGACAAGACATAAGTCAAGGAGTGAAGCTAAATGATTAGGGTTGTCAGGAAAACAAGTTACAAAGTTAACTATCTGAGTAAGAGATTGAGAAACGCAGAAGTTAAAGGCTTTAGTGCCAGCAGGATCAGTGGTGTTTATGGAGAAGACCAGCAAACTTTATCAAAGTCTTTAGAAATACCAAGAGGAATAGCTTAACCTCTCTACATCTATCTAATGCACAATAAAACCTATCGTTTATTACTATTAACAAATCAGACCGTATTATTTGATAAGTTCAAATTAACTTTTATTTTGACAATATTTATTTTCTTAATTTCAAATAACATTTTATTTAATGAATAATATTATATTAAGTATTATTTAATTTAAATTTTAAACTTTACTTTATATAATATAAACTTAATAAATAAACTTTACTTTATATAATATAAACTTAATAAATAAACTTTACTTTATATAATATAAACTTTATAAATAAACTTTACTTTATATAATATAAACTTAATAAATAAACTTTACTTTATATAATATAAACTTAATAAATAAACTTTACTTTATATAATATAAACTTAATCTTAAAAATCTGTTAACAAATAAACTTACAGAAAATAAAACATTAGTACACATCGCTTTACCATGAGTAATAATTGGAACTCCAGGACCATCCCAGCAATCAAGCTCAATACACCTGAACATAAAAACGTTACTCAAATTATATTATAACCTAGACTGAACTATATTATAACCTGGACAGTGCTGAGAGTATTTGAAATACTAAGTATTTAAAATACTATTTTAAATACTTCCTTTGTATTTGTATTTTAAATACTTTGTTGAAAGTATTTAGTATTTGTACTTACAATACTTTTGATTAGTATTTTGTATTTTTTACTAATTGAAAATACCTGTAATTCAAATACCACTTAAAACATTTACAACACCGCGCACGAACGACTAAACTAACTGTTATGTCATAGCGCCACTCTGCCACTATTTATTTTGAATTATTTCTTATTTTATTTATCTACCTTGGTTTATCTACCATGGTTTATCTACTTTGGTTTCATTAGGGTAATTATCAAATTATTTCGTGAGGATCAACAACTTTAATTTAAGGATGGCTGTCGTGAGCCGCGAAAACAAAATGACTGAAGAAAATAATGAAACTTTACCAGCCATTGTAGATGGTACCTTTTTTAAAAGCCAGATCAAAAAAAAGTAATAAAATATCAGCATTTTGCTTATTATATGAAAGTAATTCAAAGCCATTATCAGGCACGCTGGCGGCAACATCAAATTTTGTTGAGCATTTGAAGGTAATTTAAAAATTTGTATTAGTTAAAATTAATTTATCTTATCTATTACAAACAATATGCAATTATCAACAAAAAAATATTTAATGTTGCATTAAAGGCAAGGCAGTACAAGTTAATATAAATCGAAGTATATAATATTAACAGTAAAGTAACAGCTTTTTTTAAAAGGATTTACTTTATAGAACTAGCACAAGAATCGCTTTGAAGACTTTAAGGCACATAAGGCAGATGTTCAGTGAAAACATAAACTAGATAAGGCTGCTGTAGGAAAAATGGCTAATGAAGGCCCTGCTAATAAGAAGTTCAAACAAATTACTTACCATGAAGCAGCATCGTAATTTTCACCACGATGTTGTATTATATCGCAAGAAGAAGCTGACAACTTAATTACGGATTATATTACTGAAGAGATGCGTCCTTTGGCTACAGTTAAAAAACCGGCTTTTCATTAACTGCTTTGTGGGTTTAATCCTAATGTAAGTATCATGTGTAGCAAGACTCTTAAAAAACATTTAAATTCAAAGATGCATGAAAAAATAAAAATAAAACTGAAAAAAGCATCATTTGTTTGCACTACTGCTGATATCTGGCCAGTAACTAAAAAAGGTTATCCTGGCATGACTGCGCATTATATTGAAATGCCACTAGATGATTCTAGTTCGGTTTCACAAGCATCTGTATCCCTTGCTTGTCGTTTATTTTACTGTAGTCACACATATGATACAATTGCTGCAATCATTTCTAAAATTCATTGTCAATATGACCTTAATGTAGAAAAAATCTCAGCAACTGTCACCAACAATGCGTCAAATTTTGGAAAAGCATTCAGAGAATTTTTTGTAGAGTCAACTACAAGCATAGCAGCAACTAATGTAAGTGTGACTATCACACCTATACAGTTAAAATATGCTAAATTATTGCTGCAGCATTGTTAGCAAAAATATGCTGCAGCATTGTTAGCAAGCATGAAAATTCGTTTTGAAAAAGAACTGAGATTTGAAGGGAGTAATTCATACAAGATTGTTGCAGCAGTTTTGCACCCACTGTTAAAGCTATAGTGGATGCCAACAAACAAACAAGCTATCTGCAGAGAAATATTTGAAAATACCATACTAGCTGTCTGTGAACCCTTGACAGTAACCAATCTCAATGTTAAAACTGACAGTGCAATTGAAAATTTTGTTGTATATAATGATGACACTCCAAATGCTGTTGCAGTAATTGGCGCTCAGCAAGAATGCATGTTGTATCTGAATGATAAAGATACAAGTTTGACTGCTCTGAATAAGTATAAGACTGTTCGGTCACTGTTTGTCAAATTCAATACCACTGTACCATCGTCGGCTCCAGTTGAACGACTATTTAGCACAGCAGGACAAATACAAGCACTTAGATGTAACTGTCTAAGTGATATAATGCTCGAACAACTGCTGCTGCTAAAAACAAATGTGAATGACTGAATGAATGATATTTAAATATAAATTTAGTATAAATGACTAATAACTACTTTTGAGCAATGAGAGTGCGTAAAAATAAATTTTGAAAAAAGCGTATTTTTTAGTTGTAAGTTTTAAAAGTATTTTGAATTTAGTATTTAAAATAATTTTTTAAAAGTATTTTTAATCTAAATACTTTTGAAGTATTTGTATTTGTATTTTTATTTAAAATACTTTTTTGTTACAGTATTTGTATTTGTATTTTAAATACTTTTAAGTTTTTTACCCAGCACTGAACTTGGACTGAAATTATTAAAAAAGCTTAGGATAGTGATTAACCTAAAAACCACTGTAGATTTGCAGATTTCATTGACCAGGGTTACTAGGTAGTGAGCAATCTGCAATAAAATATTACCAAAACCAGAATCAAACTGTTACTAGATTTTTTTTTTTTAACATAGTTCTTAAAGTACTCAAAGAAGAGTCCCCTTCTGTAAGAGCCATTCGGTCTTTTGGGAAGTATTTTATGGTTGAATCAAACCAGTCCCATTAAATTTTGCATTGTAAAATTGCATTTAATAAAGAAATTTAACAATGCTTTCCTCACCTTATTTTTATAGCAAGAGCAAGCTTTAAATCAAAGATCGTTCAATTTTAAATTCAGCACATTAACTACTGGTATATATGCTTTTTTCTTAAAAAGAAAATAACAGAAAAACACGTAAATTTTAAAATTATTACGCAAATTTAATTATTTGAATAATATTTGATAAAAAGTTGTTAGCTTTTTTATTTTTTTTTTTTTTTAAATATGATACATTCCCAACTACAAGCAACCACTATTTAGTTGCGAATACTAAAAAAAAAAAAAGAATAGAGTTATATAGCAAGGAAGCGGTTGACATTAGACTTAAAAAGTTGTAGTCAGGAAAACATGAAAATGGGACAGAGTTCTAAAGCTTTGAATCGTGAAGAAAAAAATAAAAGACAAATAAAATCAAGCAAGAATAAGTTTTAGTTGATGGAAATACTATTATGGATGCTGCTCCTTTGAGCAGCAACCATAATAGTATTTGTAGAAAAGAGAATGAAATGCAACTTAACAACAATGGGAGGGAGGCTCAAGCTTGACAGATAGAGCTGGGCCAATTACATTTACAATGAATTTTTGATGTATAGAAAAAAAGTATTCCATACAGGGCAAATAAGAGATTTGTAGAGGTAGAGAAAATAAACAGGAGTAAGAAAATGACAAGCATGATAAAGAGAAGCAAACACAGCAGATTAATTTAATCTCTCATCTTGAATCTAATAACTTACTTTCTGATCATCAATATGGATTTCGATCTTCTTGTTCTACATTTGATTTGCTAACAGTACTAACCAATAGGTTTTATCGTGCATTAGATAAAGGTGGAGAAGTTAAGGCCATCGCTCTTGACATTTCTAAAGCTTTTGATAAAGTTTGGTACGTTGGTCTTCTCTATAAGCTTTCTTCATACGGTGTATCTGGTAACATCTTTAGGATTATTAAATCCTTTCTTTCCAATCGTAGTATAAAAGTTGTCCTCGATGGACAGCACTCTTCTTCATTTTCTGAAACTTCAGGGGTTCCTCAAGGTTCAATCCTTGGCCCTATACTCTTTTTAATTTACATTAATGATCTTCCAGATATTCTCACATCTAAGGTGGCATTCAGTACCACCTTAGATGTGAGAATTTCTTTTTTAAGAATTTGGACAGGAAAGGTGTGCAATCACACTCCAATGGCACTTCTTATCCTTGGAAGAAGTGCCATTGAGTAAGAACATGAAGGAGAAAAAGAATGTTAAACCTAGCTTGACTTGGAACCGACGAGAAGGAATAAAAGCTTTTATTCCTGCCTGAATCCAGAAGGTTATGTAGCAGATGCATTTTTCAGCTGAGAGAGAAGATCAGCCCAAAAACTGTCAGGAAGACATGTCAGCTTTAGGGTAGTAGTAAGTGCAATAATAGGATGAGTCCAAAGAAGAAGTACAAGATGAAAGATTTATAGAGATCATAAAATAGTTAGAACAACTTAAGGGGAAAAAAAAAAACTGAACACAAGCTAGAATCAGAGTCAAAACATAAATCAAGGAGTGAAGATAATTGATTAAAGTTGTCATAAGATTGAGAAATGTAGAAGTTACCATAGTACCAGCAGGGTGTGGCATTAGAGACAATATTCAGTGTGATGAGCATTTAAGTCACCAATAACAACAATATTAGCAGAGGGGTAAAGAAAAAGAGCATGATCAATTTGATAAAAAATTACATCTAAAAATTACATTTAAGAGAGTGCAGTCTTGAAAAGAAGGAGAATGATAAAGAACAAAGAGTCTTGAGAAGATGGATAATGATAAAGAACAAAGAGTCTTGAAAAGAAGGAGAATGATAAAGAACAAAGAGTCTTGGGAAGAAGGAGAATGATAAAGAACAAAGAGTCTTGGCAAGAAGGAGAATGATAAAGAACAAAGAGTCTTGAGAAGATGGATAATGATAAAGAACAAAGAGTCTTGGGAAGAAGGAGAATGATAAAGAACAAAGAGTCTTGGGAAGAAGGAGAATGATAAAGAACAAAGAGTCTTGAGAAGAAGGAGAATGATAAAGAACAAAGAGTCTTGAGAAGATGGATAATGATAAAGAACAAAGAGTCTTGGCAAGAAGGAGAATGATAAAGAACAAAGAGTCTTGAGAAGAAGGAGAATGATAAAGAACAAAGAGTCTTGAGAAGATGGATAATGATAAAGAACAAAGAGTCTTGGGAAGAAGGAGAATGATAAAGAACAAAGAGTCTTGGCAAGAAGAAGAATGATAAAGAACAAAGAGTCTTGAGAAGATGGATAATGATAAAGAACAAAGAGTCTTGGCAAGAAGGAGAATGATAAAGAACAAAGAGTCTTGGCAAGAAGGAGAATGATAAAGAACAAAGAGTCTTGAGAAGATGAATAATGATAAAGAACAAAGAGTCTTGGGAAGAAGGAGAATGATAAAGAACAAAGAGTCTTGGCAAGAAGGAGAATGATAAAGAACAAAGAGTCTTGAGAAGATAGATAATGATAAAGAACAAAGAGTCTTGGGAAGAAGGAGAATGATAAAGAACAAAGAGTCTTGAGAAGAAGAAGAATGATAAAGAACAAAGAGTCTTGAGAAGAAGGAGAATGATAAAGAACAAAGAGTCTTGGGAAGAAGGAGAATGATAAAGAACAAAGAGTCTTGGGAAGAAGGAGAATGATAAAGAACAAAGAGTCTTGAGAAGAAGGAGAATGATAAAGAACAAAGAGTCTTGGCAAGAAGGAGAATGATAAAGAACAAAGAGTCTTGAGAAGATGGATAATGATAAAGAACAAAGAGTCTTGGGAAGAAGGAGAATGATAAAGAACAAAGAGTCTTGGCAAGAAGGAGAATGATAAAGAACAAAGAGTCTTGAGAAGATGAATAATGATAAAGAACAAAGAGTCTTGGGAAGAAGGAGAATGATAAAGAACAAAGAGTCTTGGCAAGAAGGAGAATGATAAAGAACAAAGAGTCTTGAGAAGATGGATAATGATAAAGAACAAAGAGTCTTGGGAAGAAGGAGAATGATAAAGAACAAAGAGTCTTGGCAAGAAGGAGAATGATAAAGAACAAAGAGTCTTGAGAAGATGGATAATGATAAAGAACAAAGAGTCTTGGGAAGAAGGAGAATGATAAAGAACAAAGAGTCTTGGGAAGAAGGAGAATGATAAAGAACAAAGAGTCTTGAGAAGAAGGAGAATGATAAAGAACAAAGAGTCTTGAGAAGATGGATAATGATAAAGAACAAAGAGTCTTGGGAAGAAGGAGAATGATAAAGAACAAAGAGTCTTGGGAAGAAGGAGAATGATAAAGAACAAAGAGTCTTGAGAAGAAGGAGAATGATAAAGAACAAAGAGTCTTGAGAAGAAGGAGAATGATAAAGAACAAAGAGTCTTGAAAAGAAGGAGAATGATAAAGAACAAAGAGTCTTGAGAAGAAGGAGAATGATAAAGAACAAAGAGTCTTGAGAAGAAGGAGAATGATAAAGAACAAAGAGTCTTGAGAAGAAGGAGAATGATAAAGAACAAAGAGTCTTGAGAAGAAGGAGAATGATAAAGAACAAAGAGTCTTGGGAAGAAGGAGAATGATAAAGAACAAAGAGTCTTGGGAAGAAGGAGAATGATAAAGAACAAAGAGTCTTGAGAAGAAGGATAATGATAAAGAACAAAGAGTCTTGGCAAGAAGGAGAATGATAAAGAACAAAGAGTCTTGAGAAGATGGATAATGATAAAGAACAAAGAGTCTTGGGAAGAAGGAGAATGATAAAGAACAAAGAGTCTTGAGAAGAAGAAGAATGATAAAGAACAAAGAGTCTTGAGAAGAAGGAGAATGATAAAGAACAAAGAGTCTTGGGAAGAAGGAGAATGATAAAGAACAAAGAGTCTTGGGAAGAAGGAGAATGATAAAGAACAAAGAGTCTTGAGAAGAAGGAGAATGATAAAGAACAAAGAGTCTTGGCAAGAAGGAGAATGATAAAGAACAAAGAGTCTTGAGAAGAAGGAGAATGATAAAGAACAAAGAGTCTTGGCAAGAAGGAGAATGATAAAGAACAAAGAGTCTTGAGAAGATGGATAATGATAAAGAACAAAGAGTCTTGGGAAGAAGGAGAATGATAAAGAACAAAGAGTCTTGGCAAGAAGGAGAATGATAAAGAACAAAGAGTCTTGGGAAGAAGGAGAATGATAAAGAACAAAGAGTCTTGGGAAGAAGGAGAATGATAAAGAACAAAGAGTCTTGAGATGAAGGAGAATGATAAAGAACAAAGAGTCTTGAGAAGATGGATAATGATAAAGAACAAAGAGTCTTGGGAAGAAGGAGAATGATAAAGAACAAAGAGTCTTGGGAAGAAGGAGAATGATAAAGAACAAAGAGTCTTGAGAAGAAGGAGAATGATAAAGAACAAAGAGTCTTGAGAAGAAGGAGAATGATAAAGAACAAAGAGTCTTGAAAAGAAGGAGAATGATAAAGAACAAAGAGTCTTGAGAAGAAGGAGAATGATAAAGAACAAAGAGTCTTGAGAAGAAGGAGAATGATAAAGAACAAAGAGTCTTGAGAAGAAGGAGAATGATAAAGAACAAAGAGTCTTGAGAAGAAGGAGAATGATAAAGAACAAAGAGTCTTGGGAAGAAGGAGAATGATAAAGAACAAAGAGTCTTGGGAAGAAGGAGAATGATAAAGAACAAAGAGTCTTGAGAAGAAGGATAATGATAAAGAACAAAGAGTCTTGGGAAGAAGGAGAATGATAAAGAACAAAGAGTCTTGGGAAGAAGGAGAATGATAAAGAACAAAGAGTCTTGGCAAGAAGGAGAATGATAAAGAACAAAGAGTCTTGAGAAGAAGGAGAATGATAAAGAACAAAGAGTCTTGGGAAGAAGGAGAATGATAAAGAAAAAAGAGTCTTGGGAAGAAGGAGAATGATAAAGAACAAAGAGTCTTGAGAAGAAGGATAATGATAAAGAACAAAGAGTCTTGGGAAGAAGGAGAATGATAAAGAACAAAGAGTCTTGGGAAGAAGGAGAATGATAAAGAACAAAGAGTCTTGAGAAGATGGATAATGATAAAGAACAAAGAGTCTTGGGAAGAAGGAGAATGATAAAGAACAAAGAGTCTTGGCAAGAAGGAGAATGATAAAGAACAAAGAGTCTTGGGAAGAAGGATAATGATAAAGAACAAAGAGTCTTGAGAAGAAGGAGAATGATAAAGAACAAAGAGTCTTGGGAAGAAGGAGAATGATAAAGAACAAAGAGAAAGATGATAGAATGAAGAGGTGCTAAGCGGAAACACGTAAAAGACTGGTCAAAGAATTCAAATCTGATTTCACAACAAATAAGTGAATTGATGCGCATGTATACCCCCATGCCGAGCATGTGATTATGGGAGTCTTTGAGAATCAAAGGATAGTACCCATCAACACTGTAATCTGAAAAAGGAATAACAGAATTTAATTTAGTCTCACTAAGAGCAAGCTATTCTGGTGAATTTTGCAAGAGGTAAGGATTTAACTGATGGATGGCCATTAACAAGGAGGTACAAGCAAAAATCTATGAGTAGAGTCAAGAAGATCCAGCATTCATCATCCTAGGCAGGAAAAATGTAACACAGATTTACACCTACACCAGCCTAATAGGTAAAAAAGGGATTTGAGGCGAGTTAGGAGAACTATTCTGCTTACTCCTTAAATAATAGATAATAGCTTGTTAACCATTTGTAGATAATAGATTGTTAACTTTTTGTAGGTAATAGCTTGTTAATATTTTGAAGATAATAGTTTGTTAACTTATCATAGATAATAACTTGTTAACATTTTTAATAATCTAATTATTTAAAATATTAAAATGTAAAATAAATTTATGAAAAAATAATAAAAAATAATAATGAAATTTAAATCTAATTTTATAAGACAATTAAATAATATTACAAAACTAATCAAATTGAGAATATTATAGTAGTGGGATACATGGTAGGGATCAAACTCAGTTACAAGGAAGCACATTACCACTACATCACAAGTGTGATAAACATCAAAATAAAATTAAAAACTCTGATTCATATATTAGAAACGTTTTTGTTCTAAGAATGCTAACAAAAGTTTCTTGAAAATCTGGGAAAAATATTTAAAAAAAACCTGCATCCAGAAATTAAAACTTGTCGATAAATTTCAACACTTGATTTCCCATAAACTTGCCTTCCTAAAAATTTTTAAATGTTAATAACTAGTTATTGAATAATAAATATCATTTCTCTTCTATATTAATAAACGGAATAAATTAAGTGAAATCAATAACAAACCTAATAAGTATGTGTTATGAGATGAATTTATGAAGTAATGGTTGATTGGTTGGTTCATGTCATGTCGAAGAAGCAGACATTCTGGGTTTAAAACTGCACTTTCCTTGCTCAGTAATAATTGAATAAATCCTTGAATAGTCAACAACTCTAAAATAAAATACTTTGATCATTATTTAGAACAGTAAAAAAAACACTTTATGTATATCTTTATTTATATAAATATTATAATTATAACACTGTATATTTTTAATTTTTATTTTTTGCTAATTTTTTTAGAAAAACATTAGTCTTTTGTTTATCATTCTGTTTATTATGTGCAAGCAATTTGTTTGGTTAGGAGTGAACTTAAAAGTTAGTTTAAGTTCACTCAAAGGATTGTTGACAAAGTCAACAATCCTTCAAATAACAAGTTGCTGCAACAGAGATAACCCTTTAAAGTTTAACCCTTTCGTGCCGGGATTTATTTAGGCAATTTAAAAAGCGCAATACTATGTCACATAAACACTTAAATACATGGGTTTCCTAACAAAATAAGTTAAACAAAGTATATATCCTTGGAAAACAGGCAAATTTTAGAATCCAAAAATAAAAATAAGAAAGTAAAAAAATTAAACCTATGATGTCTACATTATCTCATATTGATAAAGAAGCTTTGCGAATTTTAAATAGTTGCTAATTAAGCCTTTTAAATAGCTAGCTATATTGTTTTAAAAGTAAATAAAGGCTTGTAAAATGGTGCAAAATTTATTCAGCTTTCATTTGATGGGTCACTTTTCTAATTTAGATAATTAGAAATTAAATAATTAATTAGAAATTAAATAATTACGTCAATTTTTTTTTTTTTTTTTTTTTTGCTTAATTTTGTTATTCAATAAAAACATTAAAAATACCTATAAGGAAAAGTAACTAATTTGATGGGATACTTTCCTTATTTAGATAAGTAGAAAATAATAAACCCACTCTTTGTGTAAATACAAGATTTTTCAGCTATTTTATTTATTATATTTTGTCAACACAAGTGAATGTATAGATATATAACTTTAAAAATAAAACTATGAATGCCACATATTCCAACAATTAGAGACTGAATCAAGGTATAAATGGACATTGCAAAATGAACAAAAAACATGTGATCTACAAATATCTTTTGAATGGCACTGCGACTGACCAACTAAAGTAGTTTTTCAAATATTTTCAGAACAATTTTTGCAATCTCTTGGCTTATCGTTTACCAAAGGTTTATGAACTCCAACATTTGTATGTCGTAGTGTAACTGGTTCATTTGAATTACTAGGTCTTCCACTATTCTTAGATCTAGTATTTCCTATTAATTGTTCAATAAGTTCCTCACGAAAACTTTGATGACTGCGGGCACGATGGTTAATAAACCAAGACTCAAATACAAATGCATTATGAACACATATTTCTAATAGGTGGTAAAAGATTCGCCTATACCATTTACTTGATTTTCTTCCACAGCTATAATACTTCATGATTTGGTCTGCTGAACCTACACCACCCATGTTGGCATTGTAATCTTTAATTGCAAAGGGGCATGGAACATTTATTCCGCCAACTGCCCTTTTTTTTCCTTTTCGCTTCACATATATTGTACTGTTTGCAACTTTGTCATCATAATTTGGATAGTGAACTGTTGAAAGTATATGAACAGGCTTGCTGTCAATCCAAACCTGCACCAAAACTGAACCACACATTTGCCAATCACTATACCCGTGTTGTAACTTCATTTTTGTTTTTGATATAATCTCCTTGGGAAATTGGCTGCGATCAACTTGTGAAGTACCTGTTGCATAAACCTTTTTTTCATAAAGATACTCAAGCAAACCAACTTTAGTGTAATAGTTATCTAAATACAGATGGTATCCTTGTTTTAAAACATGTTAGGTTAGTTGACAAACAACAGTTCCTGCAAGATCATGGTGCTTTGCATGCTAGCATGTAAATCAAGAACTCTGATATGTACCCGGTAGATGACTCTGCCATTACCCAAGCTTTTATTCAAAATCTTGTACGTTTGCTTGGAATAAATTGTCGGAAAGAGACTCTTCCCTTAAAAGGTATCATACTCTCACCAATGTAAATGTCTATTTTTGGTTTATAAAGATTTTTAAACTTAGGACAAAGGTCATCTAGCAACATACGTACCTTGAAGAGTTTGTCGTATCCTTCATTACCCCTTGGTATTGCTGCTGTCTTGTTGCAAAAATGAAGATAACGGTGAACTTTTCTATCAATCACGAGACATTACTTCTTTACTAAAAGATGGAATAGCAAAAAACAAAGTTTTTGTCTCCAGTAAACATGGATGCGTGGAAGTTTTATTATTCCCATGGCTAAACAAATTGCTATAAATACTTTGATATCATTTGACGTAACATCAACCCATACCATTCTATGCTTTATAGGAGAAGATTGTAACCTTCTTGAATGGTAATTATTTGTTTCAGTGACAAGTTTTTGTATTAAAGCATTATCAAAGAACAATTCAAAGAGATGGATTGGTTTGATATTTCCATCGCAATTAGGTATTGCAGATCTTCTAAATGTTGGTCCTGGTGTTGCCATAAATGGAGTAATAGTTCTAATAATTTTAATTTTTTTTAATTCTCTATTATCTTTACTAATAGTAGACTTCTTGGTCTTAATGGTATGAAGTCATTTACTAGTTGGTTGTTTACAGATTTTTCTTTTATTATTTACAGTATCATTGCTATCAGCAAATGCTATTGTAAAGAGTCCTTTATAATCATTAGTTACTGAATTATTAATAGAAAAGTCGACATCTACATTTTCTGTTAAATCATCTTTGGAACAAACATATTCTTCAGATGATGAAGATGAAATTATTTCTGATGATGATGACTGACTTTGTGATAATGTCATTGTCAATGGAGCTGTTGTTGAGAAAATATTAGGCACCATTTCTTGGAATTCGTTGTCAACAGACTCTGAAGACTCAGAAGACAAATCACTAACATCGTCCATTTCATCAAGTATTCGAAGAACTTCATTTGGATCATTTATAATCCTATTTCTCAAAGCCATCTGCACTGAAACCGTCTAACAACTACATATATTTTTGTCAATTATCTTAAGTGTTTTGAACATAAAAACTATCCGTGAATTAAAAATTCCAAATCTCCTAAGCTCAATTTATATGTGTAGAAGCAAAAAAGATTATTAAAGACTAAACAGGTTTGAACTATAACTTTTAGAGAGGTGTTTTGATTGGTATATTTTAAAGAGGTGTTTTGATTGGTATATCCTTCGGCACTAAAGGGTTAAATAAACTTTTATCTACTATTATCAGTGCACTTAGTAACTATTGTTTTGTTCTGTAATTCTGCAAAATAGATTTTTTTTCAAAAATGTTTTAAACTGTTTACATTTTTTTTTTTTTTTTTTTTGCTTTTCTGTTATTGTGTCATTTTTTTTTTTTGCAATTTTTTTTTATTATTATTTATTTTGAATATTGATTTAAAAGAATAAGCAAAGTTATTGATGATGAAGGTATGCATTCATTTTTGAATTATATTATGAGACATAGTTAGCTCTTAAATGTGGAATGTTATTGCAGTCTTATATGTTTATCATTTATATCAACATTATAATACAATAATGATGATTTAAATGAATTTTATATCAACATTATAATACAATAATGATGATTTAAATGAATTTTATATCAACATTATAATACAATAATGATGATTTAAATGAATTTTATATCAACATTATAATACAATAATGATGATTTAAATGAATTTTAAGTTAATATAAAAAACCAGTAAATTAAAGTTGATTAAACAGATTTAATTATTAAAATAATTAAAATATGTTAAAATATAAATAAAAAAATATAAAATATGTTATTAAATTTTTAAGTTAATTTATTAAGTATCACATTAGTAATTAAAGTACATTAACAAAGTAGTAGATTAGAGAAATAGATAGTAGATGGAGTAGACAGCGACACACAGAGGGCGGGGAACAGGGTCGGTTTTCCCTGGGCATCACATTTATAGGGCATTATCAGATGACAATAAAAAAATTATCAGTATGCCAAATAAAAAATTGAAAATATCCAATAAAGAAATTAAAATTGTTTATTTTGTTATCCTCATCCATCAGATTACAGAGAGATTTCAAGCTCTGAAACAGCAATGTAAATTATATTTCTTTATCTGGTATATGCTTGACATCAATTTGGACTTAAGATTCTTGACTGTTTTTCAAACAGTCAAGAATCTAAAGTTAAAGATCTTGTACTTCTGTATCCAAATGATGTTATTGAAGATGAGTTTATTGATGAGTTCTGCTACTTTTTGCCTGTTCGACACCATCTACTGAAAAATGATTGGCCCTTAGATCTTCTGAATAGCATTTATGTGAAGGGATTTGAAGGAAATTTTATAAAACATTCAAAAACAATAATCTTTTTATATAAAAACTACAAGTTTAAATTTTATGGCTTAAAAACTGTCATTTTTTAACGACAACAAAAAAAGATGTACATTTTATATGGTTTTTTAATAAATTTGGTTTCTATAAATTTTTTTAAATTATTTTTAAAACTTTTATAAAATTTCGCTTCTTATGAGACCCAACATGATATGCTTTTGAAAAATGTTTTTTTTTTCAAAATATTTTGAACCCGTATGATGTTTAAGGGTCTTGAGCAACCCCTAAAAAAAATTTAGTAATTATTTATTACATAGAACACATTTAGAGGGTACCAGCAGATATTTTCAAATAATGTTGTTTTATGAGCCACCCTAATTATTAGGGTAGAAGATTATATAAGTATATTAGATTAAAAATTGATTATTAATTGTTTGTTTGTTTTTCTGTTTAGTTGACAATAGTAAAAAAGAAACTGCAAATTTTCCAGTTTTATGTGGTTTTTTAAATATTGACTTAACCATTACAATTTTTATTTTAGATTTATCATATTGAAAAAGTTCAACATTATGCCACTAAATGGATACCCCAGATACAAGAATAATGTTATGAAACAAGAATTAAAATACTTAGCTTAAGCACACGGGAAAAAAGACATAAAAGAGGGGACTTAATTCAAATGTACAAACTATTTAAAAAAATAAATATTATAGAACTTGATTGTAATCTTTTTGCCTCGTATCAGTCCAACACAAGGTCATAACTTCAAAATCAGAAGAGAAATTGCTAAAAACTGCAATATTTGTCATCAATTCTTAACTAATAGTCTTGTCAATGTGGAACAAACTGCCAGATTTTATCATCAAAAGTGAAAACTTGAACTTATTCAAAACTCGCATTGATAAATATCTAGAGCTAAATGATTTGTAATTTATAACTTAACTTATTTACAGTAGCTACAGCTTTCTATTATATTTTTATTATATTATATGTGTTTATGTAATATAGGAGAACAAAATTAACAGCTGTTATTTTTATTTGTAAATTTTTGTTAATTTGTACATATTTAATTGTACATAAATTTGTTACTTTGTAATAAATGGAAAGGTCTGAATTTTGAAAAAAACTTAAAAATTCTGAAAAACTTTAGTTCTAAACATTTGTCAATTTTAATGGAGAGACTTATCTTTATGTTAATGGAGAGACTTATCTTTATGTAAATGGAGAGACTTATCTTTATGTAAATGGAGAGACTTATCTTTATGTAATCAATTAATTATGTGCACTAAATACTCATAAAAAAAATAATTTCTTTCTTAAAATAAAATTAATAACGGCAGAAGGAGATATTTAAGAATTAATAAGCCCCAACCTCCAATTTAACCTTAGAGGTTGACATTACGCAATATAACAAGAAGTACTTAACATCATTAATTCAAACCCATGAAAAGTATCATTATTTTCTACTTTTTATCAAAACCTATTGAAATTGAAAGACTAAAGAATATGTATAACAGTTTGCTGAATCAGGGAATTCAGATATTTGCAAAAAAATCAGGGAAATTGAACTTAGAAAAGTCGTAAAAATTGGTTCTGCTGTAATCTAACATGATCCATTTAAGTTGTATATCATTCTAATAATGTAAGATTGTAACTGACAGATTGTTTTATAATCTCCTTTCTACTTTTGATATTAATTTTATTGATGATTTTATATTTGAAATTGAGAAGCGTTTTTCTAAAAGAAATTTAGTATGCTTTTTCTGAAGTTGAGTTTTTGTTATCATGAATTAAACCAGGGAAAACAAGTAAAGGACAATGGAAAAACCAGGGAAATCAAACATAAATTTATCAGACACCCAGTATAAATGTGGTGGAACTGACCAACCATAACCTATACTGCGAGTTGCTTACTGTTAGTTCTTTACAATTAGCTATATCTAACTAATGGTTTAAAAAAAAATAGGTCAAATGCTATTTCTGATAAAAAATTACACTAACTAGTAAATAAATACCTTTTGTTCTACATGCTTCATTACTTTCATAATCCATTATTAGGTCTACTGCATTTGAAATCGTACAATGAGGATGCATTTGTTCATTTAATCTTGGGTCACGTTGGTCTTCATTCAAAAACTTCATTAACTTTTCTGCAGTTAACCTAGTACCAAACCTTAAAACAAACATTTGCTGATAATGTCATAAAAATGAAGAGAATAAAAAAAGTTAAAAAGAATTAACAAGTAAACATAAGTTTTATAAGAAATTTAAAAATAAATTTTTCTTAATAACTCACACTTCATGAATTCTGGTTGTCTGATACAGAAAAGATAACAATATGTTTCAAATTACAATTACAAAAGGAAAATGCTTCAGCGTAACAATTTGAGAAACTTTGAAAAAGTTTTGATTAAATAACCTTAACTATTTAAAAACAAATAAAAATATTGCAAAAGGTGGCATGCAACCAAATTGCCTATAAAATATGAAATCTGTTTTAAAAAGTAGAAATATATGAAGTTGAAATATACATGTATGCTCATGCAAATGCTCACAATTTTTTTTACACTTTAAAAACTAATAATTAATAGTTATAACAATAAGTCGACTTTATATAAAAAAACTAAAAACAATATTAAAACAAAAAAAATTTCTATTCACAAATTTTGATAATGTTCTTACGTTCAACAAATAAATTATAAAAAATTATTATATTAATTTAGAGAAACAACAACTATGTAAGCAACAACAACTATGCGGGCTTTAGCCAGTTTAAAATAAGAATAAGCTTTTATAAAATAAGATTATAAAATAAGATTAGGCTCTTTTTATTTTGAGTCGATTTCTTTACTCTCAATTGAACTTTATTCAGTTTATACAATTGCAATTTTCTCAGCCCTGTTGATTCTGCAGATTTGTTGTTTCTTTCATTCTGATTATTTTTACTTTCATTAGATTTGTTGTTGAAGAGTGATGAGAATGATACCGGTTCAGGTTTTTTTAGTTCGCTAAGAGGTTTGTGTAAGGTTTCGTTTTCTGCTTCTAAGGTCAGGACTTTGTTTTCTAGAATTAATTGAACTTTATTCAGTTTGTGAATAAAGTTCAATTTCCCTGTTAATTAACCATAAGTCATAACATAGGGCTCCTTATGTGGCCTTGACAACACACCAAATGTGCATCAAAAGCATTAAAAGAGACACTGTTGATGGAATCAGCCTCTCTGAGAGCTACCACAGAGTTTGGGAAACCTTACTATTAGCCACCCTCAGAACCATTAAACTGAGTTTTAGAGCTGTACCTTTATTAGGAGATAACAGGAAAAGTTGCATAGCCACTATCAAGGAGGCACAAGCAAAAACCTATGAGAATGTCAAGAAGATCTAGCATTCATTATCTAGGCAGAAAATCATGTAACACAGGTTTACATCTACGCCAGCCTGACAGATGAAGTAGGAGTTCGAGGCTGGTAAGCAGAATTATTCTGTTGACCCCTAAAGTTTTTGCCTAAAGGCTTCCTACAAGACAGTAGCTGGATGTAGTTAAGGCCCAAAATTAATATTTTTTTCGAGACACCATCTCTAGCCTTTACTCAACCAAAAGCCCCAATACAGGGGAATTTCAGCTCGATGCAGTTAACATCTGCCCAAGATGTGTATTTTTATCAAGAAACCATCTCTAGCCTTTACTCAACCAAGAGCCCTAAGGCTTGATTTTTAGTCAGGTTTTGTTTCTCCTCGGCTTTGCCTAAAAAATCATTATTAATTTTTAGTCATTTTTACATAAATCACATTTCTTTCATGTTAATCCAGTACCAAAAGTTAATAAAATGTTTATTTTCAATAAATTTTAATGAATTTGTTAAAATAATTAGAGCCTTTTTTCATTGTTAGTTTACTAAAGGTTCTTCTTAATAATAAATCATTTCAATAAATACTGTAATTATCAAGTAAATGTGGTGACGGATGTAGCATTGTTTAAGCATATAATTATATATATATATATATATATATATATATATATATATATATATATATATATATATATAAATATATATATATATAAATATATATATATAAATATATATATATATATATATATATATATATATATATATATATAAATATATATATATATATATACAAATATATATATATATATATACAAATAGTATTGTATATATATATATATATATGTATATATATATATATATATATATACACAAATATATATATATATATATATATATATATATATATATATATATATACAAATAGTATTTCGTACTAAGGTAAGCAATCTGATGTCATACTGAAATAGCCTGGTACTGGGGGCTTCAGTACATACATCGACTGACAAATAGCCTGACTCGCAGTGGAGTGCTGCTACATCGACTGAGGGTTTAAGATAAGGCAGCAATCGTTTCATTCATCATTCTTCGTTTTTTTTCTTTTTTTTCTAAAAAAGCCGTATGGGTTAAGGTAAGCAAAAAAAGTGAGCAAATGCTTATAAAAATACGCTTTAGTAAGTGTGTGTGTGTGTGTGTATGTGTATATATATATGTGTGTATATATATATATATATATATATATATATATATATATATATATATATATATATAACATAATATGATATTACTATATTATTTTATATTATATATATTATATATTTTAAAAAAAGATATTACAATGTTATTTTATATTATATATATATAATATATATAAATATATATAATATAAAATATGGTAATATCTGATGATCACCATTGTCGCGATTTAAGATATTCTCCTGTGATTTAGAGCACTGTAAGCATAGTATTTCAATTACTTCTCAAATCTTATGTGTATAGTTATTAGGAGTAATAGAAATAATTTTTGATTTACTCCAGTTAATTGAACCACAACTTTGTTGGGCGTGTTTAACTATTCCTGATGCGTCCCAATTACCTTTAGCTATGTTTTTTTCGTGTGTGGAAATTTTAAAATAATTTAAAATAAAACCAATGCATTTTTTACTCGCAAATAACTAATGTTCAAAAACCTGCTAATATTAATTAGTTTAAAACAACGCTCGCACGCATAGATTGTCATTTAATTAAAAAAAAGAAGTTTGATAATATCCAAATAATTTAATGTTGATTTTTTTTTTAAATATCAAAACAAATCATTTTATGAATGCTATTGAAAAATAAAACATTGTTTGTCTTTTTTTATTCACCTCTATTAAGATGGGTTGATGTTTGATGACTCTATTATGATTCAATGATAGAAAGAAAAAAAAAAGTGCAAACGCACAATTGATAATTTTTAATTTATTTCAAAATAGTTTACTTATTAGAATGGCTTCTCATCAGCAGAAAAAACTACGAAAAAAGTAAATTTAAAGATTAAATGAAAAAAATAATTAAAAACATTTTGAAGAATTAATGTTCTTAGTCACATACAAATATTTTAAGTAATAATTTTATATCTCTGATTTTAATCAGCAGAGATAAAATATTTTTATCTCTGCTCATTTGAAATACTGGTAAATAAGTTATTAATAACTTAATTAAAACTCTAGCGCAAATTTTTTTACTATTTAAACTTAATACTTAATACTAAGACAATTGTTTTATGAAACACTACTACAAAAATTACTAGTGTTACATAAAAAGTAATTTTACTAAATATTACTAATTTTAATAAACACTTTTAAGAATTATATTATAGAAAATTTTGAACTTACCTATAAATCATTCATACATTTATTATATTTGCAGCAAAAACTTACAAGAAACTAAATAAAAAGATTTAAAGAAAAAAAAAGTGACTAAGTAGTTAAAAGAAAATATGTTCTCAGTTAAATACAATTATATATTTTTATATTATTATAAAAATAACATATATATATATATATTTTTATTGAGACTATAATAAAATAATTACTTCAATCATTTACTTCGATATACTTGATTTCAAATATATTTTTTAAAAACAATTTAAAAGGTTTTGAATTAAAAAAATGATTTAAAATTACTATACTTTCTTTAGCTTATTTTACTTATTTAATTGTTTTCCTTTTTTTATTTTATGTTTTTGATGATATTTATTAGTCAGCCCTAAATACTTATTTATATTACATTATTTTTAATAAAACTTAACACAATTTTTTGTGATTGATAACTTTCACGATTATCTTATATATTATGTGTATGTATATGTATATATGTATATATAACAATTCATTTTGATGGAAAAATTGTCAAAGAACTTACTGAAGGAAAACTTAATTTCTCCGCACAGCGATCTTGCTTGTTAAGGTTCGTGTTTCGGAGTTAAAGAGTTGAGAGAGGGTTGTACCACAATTTACAACAAAAAAAAAAAAATAAAAACAAAAACAAAAAAATGAGTAGCCTCCACGACTTTAGTGGCCCCCTCCGGCATTGGGGAGGTGAATAATTAAAAAAAAAAAAAAAAACAGTTTTCAAACGATAGGTTAGCTGTTCTTGTTAGGATTAAAGGACAAACCAATTACTTGGAGTTCCAGCTATTGACTCTGATTCTGGAGAACACCAAAAAGAAGCTATAGAAGAACTTATTTCTAACTTTTGGATTAGATGATAAAGTTCAGTGTTTTTGCTTTGATACCACTACCACAGGTAAAATAAAAGGAGCTTGTAGCAAAATAATTATGCCCTTACAGCGCCCTATGTTGTTAACTGCATGTCGACATCATATTTGTGAGCTTTATCCAAGCAGCCATACTTCAGGGCCAGAAAATAAATAATTCAAATTTCTTAAAAATCATTGGAATGATCTAGATACTGAAAAGCAAGATTTGAAAATATATAAATCACAACAATGGTAACACAACAGGAGAATATATAAATCACAACAATGGTAACTTAGTGATGACACTCCATTGGAGACCACTTTTTGTTAAATTTAACAAGTCATTGGAGACCACTTTTTGTTAAATTTAACAAGTGTATATATATATATATATATATATATATATATATATATATATATATATATATATATATATATATATATATATATATATATATATATATATATATATATATATATATATATATATATATATACACTATATATATATATATATATACACTATATATATATATATATATATATATACATACATATATATATATAAGCAATATATATATATATATATATATATATATATATATATATATATATATATATATATATATATATATATATATATATATATATATATATATATATATATATTGCTTAGTCATTTTTAATTTTTCCCATAAAATGTCACCTTTTTTTTTAATTAATTTAAAAGACCGATAAAAGTTTAAAAAGTTTTTTTTTATAAATTTGATAGACTGCCTGCCCAAACCAAACCATCAGTCAATGTAGCAGCACTCCTTGCATGTTTATCTATTTGTCAGTTAATGTTGCAGCACTCCTTGCATGTTTTACCTATTTGTCAGTTGATGTATGTAAACAGTAAAAAAATAAAAGTAAAAACATTCAGAACATTTTTAATTTACGAAAAATTAAGAGTGTTTTTAATTTAAGAAAAATTTAATTTCAGAAAAGTTAAAAAAACAAACATTCTGTTTGTTTTTAAAAATATTCTAGTCTTTTATTTGCACTTTTTGAGTTTTTTAAAAAACAATCAAATTTAATTAGTTTCCTCAACTAAATTTAATGGTTTTGACATAAACTGTACTTAATTTTATCTTGTTATATGTCAAAGAATAGTTAAGAGCTGTTTTTTACCACAAACGCTAAGTTTAGATGTCAAATTATATATATATATATATATATATATATATATATATATATATATATATATATATATATATATATATATATATATATATATATATATATATATAATATTCATAGACTACAAAAACTTCTCAGATCTGTCACTGATAATATTTACTTTCTCTTTATTTGTAAAAAATTTGAAAATCTTACAATGAAATGAACAATTCATCAATATCTGGTCTTGGGCAAACAAGGCAACATAGCTTGTAAAACTGTTCAAAGCTGAACATTTCAGGATCTATTTCCCCAACTGGTAAGGATAAAGCTGTTTGTATACCCTCAATAGTGGTTTGCTCAAAACGAACTGCATTTAGACATTTAAAAATATTTTTCATTGAAATTTTTCCAGAAGCATTCACCATTGATTTTGAAAGTACATATCTAAAATATATCATTGTAATCAATATTTTAAAACATTCAATTTAAAAAAATGTTCTTTTTTTTTTATAATCGATATAAAAAAAAGCCATTTTTATAAATGTTTATAGTAGAGTAAAATATTACAAAAGATTTGTAGTCCTGACTTTTAGAATATTGATGAAAATAATTTTCTGATACTAATAACATTTGAAAAATAATTTCAACAAATTGATTCAACTGAATTTTTAAACAAATATTATTTTATGGCAATATTATATGATCTTGTAAAAAAAATTTATTCATACACAAAAAATAAAAAAAATAAAAATGTTAAATATTTATAACCACAGAATTAATGAATTAAATTTTTATTTAAATAAAAATTTTATTCATTAACTCTGTGATTTTTAAAAAAAAAAAAAAAAACTAACAATAGTTCAAAAATACTAAAAAAAATCTAAAATAATTTAGTAATAATTCTAAAATTTAAAATCTAACTACTAATAAAATTTAAGCTTTTTAAAAAACTCATTGAAACATGATAAAGACATTAAAATAGACATTAAAAAAAGTTGTTGCATTTATAGTGCAATAACCTTTTTAATTGACAAAGGCAATAATATGTGTATGTATGTATGTATGTATGTATGTATGTATGTATGTATGTATGTATGAATGTATGAATGTATGTATGTATGAATGTATGAATGTATGAATGTATGAATGTATGTATGTATATATGTACCTATGTGTATATATATGTGTGTGTGTGTGTGTGCATGTGTGTGTGTGTGTGTGTGTGTGTGTGTGTGTGTGTGTGTGTGTGTGTGTGTGTGTGTGTGTGTGTGTGTGTGTGTATGAATATGTATATGTATGAATGTATATATATTAGGGGTATAAGATTTCTACAAACTCAATGAGCATCTCATATTCTAATGAGATTTTGTAAACAACAAAGAAAAATTAGTTTCATTATGTTTCTAGAAAAAAACTCACGCACTAGAAAGCCAAGCCAAAAGCTGTTTATCACATTAACAAATACGCCTAAAAATTTCTTTACTGGTAATTTGTAGTTAAATGTTTTCCGCTTCGTCTTATATTAATAAGTTATGTTTAAATAAGTAATAAAGATATATATCACATAAATAAGTAATAAAGATATATATCACGTAAATAAGTAATAAAGATATATATCACGTAAATAAGTAATAAAGATATATATCACGTAAATAAGTAATAAAGATATATATCACGTAAATAAGTAATAAAGATATATATCACGTAAATAAGTAATAAAGATATATATCACGTAAATAAGTAATAAAGATATATATCACGTAAATAAGTAATAAAGATATATACCACGTGAATAAGTAATAAAGATATATATCACATAAATAAGTAATAAAGATATATACAGTGTAAATAAGTATTAAAGATATATATCACGTATATAAGTAATAAAGATATATATCATGTAAATAAATAATAAATATATATAAGAAAAACTATTTTTCTTTTTAGTGTAATAAGTTTTTATATTTTGAAATAATTCAAAAATGGCAAAATCTTTAACAATTGTAAAAGAATTTTTGGAATGTCATGAAAGCACTCTACTAAAAACCTTCGAAGAGAGATTTGATAAATTAGGAGAAAAATTTTACAACGAAATTAAAAAATTAAAAAACGAAAATGCTTTACTGAAGAGAGAAGTAGCTGAAGTTAATAAGCAATGAATTTCCAGAATGAATATTATGAACAAATTGTTAAGGAATCAAATGACCTAAAAGGTAAACTCAATAATTACAACAAAGACAACGAGAATCTAAAATGCACCGAAATTATTCAAGATAAATTAGCCGAATTAGAAGATAGAAGTAGACGAAACAATCTTCGTTTTGATGGCTTTGACAAAAGAGAAGAAGAAACTTGGGAAGATAGCGAATCGAAGGTTAAAGAGTTCTTAAAGGAGAAACTCGGAATTAAAAACAACATTGCAATCGAAAGAGCACACAGGACTGGGAAGAAGCACGTATCTGGAAAAAGAAGAAGAACTATCGTGGTAAAGTTTCTTAACTATAAAGACAGAGAAATCGTATTAAATGAGTATAAAAAAAGAAAGCTATGGAACAAAAAAATGTATCTCAATGAAGACTATAGCAATCGCACAATTGAAAAAAGACAACTTCTATTTACAAAAGCAAAAGAACTTCGAGCTGAGGGTAAGTTTGCTAAAGTTATATATACCAAGCGCGCGCCTCAGAAGTACAAGAAATTCTTTTAAATCTTATTCAGCACACAAAAAATGATAACAACAAAAAATATAAAATGGATGACTATGAATCACTTATTTTCAACTTTAGAAACAAATACATTGGATCTGATGAAAACACAGATCCAGATATTAATTATTTTAATGACTTAAAAGTAGATTGTTTTTATCATTATGCTAGTGAGTTAAAAGAATTTCTTTCTAAAAATGGCGATGAAAACAAAAAAATTAGAATTGTCCACATAAATATAAGAAGTATGAACAAAAATTTTGAAAATCTTCGACATTTTATAGAAGAAACTAAAAACTATTTTGATATTATTTGCTTAACGGAAACTTGGTGTTCACAAAATGAGCTTAATAATAACTCTAATTTCCATTTTCCTAATTTTGAAACAATTTTATTAGAAAGACAATTAAATAAACGCGGTGGAGGAATTCTGATTTACATAAAACAAAACATTGCGCATAACGTTAGGAATGATTTGTGCGTTTCTGATGGCGATAAAGAAATCGTTATAATTGAAATTTTAAACAATAAAAGCGAAAAGTTGAAAAGCAAAAGCATTCTACTAAGTTGTTGTTATAGACCACCTGGTGGTGCGTCAGAAAATTTAAGCTTATACTTAAAGCACAACGTTTTTCATAAAGGTAACAAAGAAAAGAAAAAAAACTTTGTAATTGGCGATTTAAATATGGATTGCTTACGATATAGCGAAAACAAAAAAATTAAAAAAATTTTATGATGAAATATTTGTATCAGGAGCAATACCGCTTATCAACCGGCCTACTCGAATAACAGAAAACTCAACCACCCTTATAGACAATATTTTAACAACAAATATATATAACAATGACATTCAAATAGGCATTATAAAATCAGATATATCAGACCATTTCCCCATTTTTCTAACCATTAACACAATTTCAACTCCTAGCATTAATAAAAGTCAAACTATAAGAAAACGTATTTTTAACAAAAAAAATTTAGAAGCATTTAAATATCAATTATCATTGTTAAACCGGAAGCATATAAATTTTAATGAAGACATAAATGCAATCTATAATAAGTTCTTTAATACATTCTTCTCGGTGTACGATGCGAATTTTTCCGTTTCCGAAATAACCTTAAAACCAAAAACCTTAAGTAGTCCTTGGATTACTAAGGGTCTCAAAAAATCTTCAGAAATTAAACAAAAATTGTATATAAAATATTTAAAAACAAAATCTCAAAATTATTACTCTAATTTAATCACTAAATCTAAAAATGACTCAAAACAAATATGGAAAACATTGAAAGAAATAACGGGAAAACAGAAAACTTGTTCAAATTTCCTTACGAAAATGATTAAGATAAATAATGTATGTGTATATGAACCAAATGAAATAGCAAAAGAGTTTAATAAATATTTTACTGATATCGGAAGTAGGTTGGCTGATAGGATTCCATCTACAAATATTTCCTTTAATGATTTTTTGACAACTTCAAATAATTTACTTTCTTCCCATGACTTATTCCTAGACTTATCAATTGAAGAGTTTGAAAGAGCCTTCAAATCTTTAAAAAAAAACAAAGCAACCGGTGCGGATGGAATAAATGGGAACATTATTATAGATTACTATGAAAGTTTGAAAAATATTTTATTTAAAGTTTTCCAAACATCTATACAACAAGGGGTTTTCCCTGATCTATTAAAAAATTAATTGCAAAAGTTATCCTGATTTATAAAGAAGGAGAAAAATCAAACGTAAATAATTATTGCCCTATTTCTATCCTTCCTACATTTTCAAAAATATTAGAAAAAATTATCTTCGAAAAAACATACAACTACCTGGTTTCAAATAAGATTAGATAGATTCATCTATCTCTTTTTCTGTTTTTAAAAACAAGTTAAAGAATATTATTTTTTCTACGGATAATATATTGAAATATTTTTGAGATATTATTTTAACCATTTCTTATTTCAAATGTTTAGGATTCTTATTTTGTTATAAACTACCTGTATTATACTATATTATATTTAAATTGTAATTTTTATATGGTTCTGGCGACAAGATCGATATGATCTTCTTTCAGATCCCAAGTTTATATGTTTATATTACATGGAAATCACGACATGTAAATAATGTAAACTGAAAAAAAAAAAAAAAAAAAATCATGTAAATAAGTAATCAAGATATATATCACGTATATAAGTAATAAAGATATATACCACGTAAATAAATAATAAATATATATATCACGTAAATAAAGCTATATTGACGAAATTAACAAAACATCAAATTCTTTACCATTTTCAAGGTTAAACATTTAGTTTGAAAACCAGATATCTGCCCATGTTCTTGCTAGAAGTCTTACTAACATCTTAAGACGTTGTCTGTCTAAAGAAATTAGTATGTAAGCAAAAGTAAAATAAATTGCCCTGGAGTTTCATCTAGATTGTCTAAAGTTTGGTAAACTTTTGGTAAATTAACTTTAGGAAATTTCTTTTCATTCCAAAAGTATTTCACTACGTTAATCAGATGTTAAGAATGAAAGTATTTCACTACGTTAATCAGTTAATACTGCATGTCATCTCTCCATTTCAGTTCATTCTCCTTCAATTGTATACCATTATTGTCAAAAATCATGTTAAATAGTCACCTTTACTATGTATTGCTTCAACAAAATAATATGCCAGTTCAGGTGAACTGGTATTACCTCCAAAAAACCATCCAGAAATAACTTTAATAATTGATCTAATATATTGTGTTGACAACCAACATAGAGAGGTTTCTGAAAGCCAACACGAAATGTGCTATTAATCTCTTTATCATGCCACTTGTTTTCCCACTGTTAGCATTTGTAGTGTCTGTCATGATCGTTTTTACAGATCCTCATAAATCATATTCATACAAAAGTTCTTGAAGTCCTTCAAAAATTGTCTCTGACTTTCCATTCTTCAATACCATTGGCTTTAGCCTAATC